AGATATATAGATTTAGATATAGATATATAGATAATAGATATATAGATATAGATATGTATAAGGACTGCATTCAGCAAGATCTATTGCGTGGCTATCCAGCACGGATGGTAATATGTGTTATACAATTCTTCGCAGTAAAAAGTTGCCCAGGCTCCGGAACATTTTCACGCAAGCCATACGCAGCGTATGGCCCGCTCCACAATGCTTGTTTAAACTACGTTAAGTGGCAGAAATTGCGAAGAATTCTATTCACGTTTTCCTCTAGAAATATAGCAAAGAACGTCATCCCATGAAAGACCATATAGACGGCAAACAGTCGCAGAAGTTTCAAGTAAACGTAATATTTCCGCAATATATCAAATATTACCGCTAAAACGTCAAACCGGTTTATCGGCGTCATTTATTCAAATCTTTTCCTTCGCAGTCTCGGATCCTTTCCTTCCTCAGTCTCTTCACTATCATGGCTTCGTGGTTACTTGACAAGATTGATATATGTTTGTTGCATGGTTGCCAATAGTTACCAGGTTGCGATTGCGTCAGCGAAGGAAAATATTTTAATGGCTTTTCTAAACCGCAGCGCTTCGATCGCGCGTTTATACCAAAAGTGAAATATTGCATAATATTATTAAAACCAAAGACATGCAGCGAGTCTTTTATCGTGGAAAATTCGGCATGATAGCGGCGCGAATGCAATGTCGTCAATCGAATTCCATTTTGATTTCGTCGTGTTTGTCCAGAGATGTACGATTGCAACAAGACCCTCGCAAAGCGTCCGTCTTTGTGATTGTGTGGCTGAAGCGAGATTAGTCGATATGCAATAACATATAGCAACACTGGCCGCGCTGTTGTAGGTACGGGCCTACACACAAGTTGTGCTGGATTGATTCCCTTGCGGCAACAAAGAATATCGAGTATGGATGCTATCCGTTTCCCACAAAGATACCCATGACTTAATTCGATACAAGAGAGATGAGACCGTATTTTTTGCGTTCAAATAGCAGGTCAATAATTCCGTCTGTCTTGTTCAGAGCCGTCAGTTTTGCGGTTACACCCTGTACGATGTCGCTGTCAGCTTCAGCCCTCAAAGGACAATAATCTCATATGGCGTAATATATTGGTATAATATTTGTTGAACGGTGTAGTACGGTAGACATACATTTTTCTATACGTTGCATATATATCAAGAGTACATAATGGGAGAGTACATAAGTACAAGAGTACATAATCTCCAATTATGTACACTTGATATATATATATTGCGTCGTGGTCGTGTCCAGCGGGCTGCATCATGCATTGCGCATTCGCATGGGGATTTCACATATTTGTCCACGCGCAATGTATGGGGGGGGGGTTTATTATAGGGGGATGTTGTCTAACATGTTACAGCGGCTGGGGTGCAGTGCATGACGTCACCTTTGCTGCTAGCATGTAATGATTGTTAGCGTACGGTCATATAATCGTGCTGTCACGCAGCTATAGTAGTAACTTCAGCGACCCGTTAGAAAGAATAGAATTCTTGCGATTTTACGCATTGCGGTTTACGATTTACGATACGCAGTACGATTTTACTTTTGCGCATTTTAACGTGTTGGTTTCATTTTCATATATATATATATATATATATATATAGTGAGAACTGCTCCGTAGCTGGGTGCCGCTGTCACGTACCACACGTGACGTGAGTTGTCGGTAATCAGCGACTTACTACACGCGCTAGTAACCTCGGCATGCCTGCTGATCGGATGCGGTTACTCTGCTGTAATAGCCGTCCCTGCTCGGCGTGGGTGCATGGCGGGGACTTATTACACGTGTTTATATACACGCGCATGCGTAGAGCGTAGCGAGGAGACGCGTGTACGCGTACGTAAAGCGCGCACACGTACGCGTGCGTGCGCGCTGGTGCGTGTACATGTTTGTGTAAGCATCAACGTGCACGTCAGCGAGCACATGCTGGGTGTACAAATATACGATACCGAAAAAAAACGTAGTGAAATACGCAATGACATATGCTGTCTTGCGATGCTTCACAAATGGAAAAGAAATGGAAAAGCAGGACTATTCAAAGCGCTTGATTTTGATTGAATTTTTTATTTGATTTTGATTTTTGATTGAAAGGGGTTGATACTCCGGTGCTGGGACAATTTCGACAGTAATTCGCAGTTCCTAGACCAAGGCTCTAACGTCTACTCTGACCATTGATAACGCTATTAAAACGCTTAACAATGCTATTGTTATAACGTAGCTAATAAGCTTGGATCCCCCGCTGTTTGAACGCTATACCTGCAATGTATGACGCTACTCTCCCCCAGTTTCGCCAGACGCAAGACCCCTTCTAACCATTCGCACGCTCTATTTAGCAATGAAGCTGCCAGCTAAGAAGATTATGTGATTCCCAGACGGTATGGTAATTTAGAAGGCTACATGCCGTCTAGGTGATGTATATTAATTAAGATGACTAGCACAACTCTTAGGTGATATACCGGTGGTGGCCCGCTCAACTTTCGTGTAAATAGTTCAATCACAAGTAGTTCTTAATTCAGTTTATTATGATAAACGGGTGGAATTAACTTTCGTGAGATAAGGTATCGGATGAGAGCATTAGTCTAAACAGGACTCAGGCTGCTTCAATTGGATCGTAAATTACTACCCGTGGACGAAATATTAAAAACACGTACAATAAAGCGTAAAGCGCGTTCTTGTGGCAGTGAATGTAGAGATTGGATTCTGTAAAACGCGAACAAACGCACGCAATTTTAATAGCAGGGGAAACAAGATTGATGGAAGAAATGAAATATTACCATCACTGATGAATACAGACGCTGATGATATTAATGTAGACGAAACGGGAAATATTGAAATACGCATATTTCTACTTGAAATTATTCGAAGGAGAAGCTAAACCAGTATCCAGCCACTCGTAATAGCTCTATATAGATGCTGTGAGTATAACAGATTTCTACGTCCACTCACTTGCACGCGGGTCGACGGTATACATCTTACAAGCAGGAGAACAGAAGCGAGCGGGAAAGAGCGATAAATAGAGAGCAGTGCGAAGGCAAGAGAGAGAGAGAGAGAGAGGCAGCGAGAGAGAAAAAGAGAGGCAGCGAGAGAGAATGAGAGAGAGGGGCAGCGAGACAGAAAGAAAGAGAGAGGCAGTGAGCGAGAAAGAGAGAGAGGCAGCGAGAGAGAAAGAGAGAGAGAGAACGCCCATTTTGCCACTGTGCTTAAACTTACAAAAATAATGTCTGCCTAACAAGAGGTGGAGATATAGACATAGAAGAGAAATTATAGAAATGTTTATCTAATAGAAGATAGATTGTCTCACTTTCTATGGTTTGTGAGTTAAGATAAGATGGGGTGGTAAGGTGGCGCTGTATAGAGGAGTGGTAGTGCGGCGTTTGCGTGGAATTATTAGACCATAAAGAGTATATAGGTTTTGTAAGTATATACAATTTGTTTTAGCTCACTGTTAATTTATTATTGAAGCGGTCCAAGAGCTTATACCGCTAGTAGTCTCAGTCAAATTACTTCTTATATTTAACTTCGTGCTTTCGTTTTATTTCGTTATCTAACCTCAAACTAACCTCAGACAGATGGCGTGGCCAAATCGAGAGCAGTGAATTAAGCTAACTCTACCGGACGCCATTCAGCTAGAATCCCGCGTTGTTTAAATCTGACGAGATTTGTTCTATCGTAGCGAGGCCAGCCATCGATTAGTTCAAGAGCGTATTAAGAAGCTGATACTACCTTCTTAATACGCTCTTGATTAGTTGTTTTTTAAGACAGCGTACGCGCTAATTTGTTAACAGTTAAAAGGTGTCGTGTCGGTCGATACAGGAAGCTTGATCTAACGCAAGTTCATGGCCGCAGAGTAACGCTTCTCGCTGCAGCACCAGAGTTAACGTTTTAGTCTCCACTCTTTAGTCTTAGTTAACGCACAGGCACTTGGAGCGTTTCAATAAAATACGAAATCTATTTACTACCAAAGTCAGCGTGCGGCAGCTTGCGTGCGGTGTACATGTGTGTTGCAGAGGAGCATTTGCACGGCATTTACATGAAATTGTCGGCAATAATAGGCGAAAGAGAGAAACATTACGACTTTGTAGTAAATAGATTCCGTATTTATTTAGCATTATATCTTATTGAAACGCTCCAAGTGCCTGTGTTCTAGCGTGTTTGCAGAGTGCATGACGGAGTAGCCCTTCATGATCACACACACTATTACCCCGTTCACACGGTAATGGTTTGGCTCGAGCTAAATGGGCTAAATTTGGCACAGTCTAAATTTGGCTCGGGCCGGTTTGAGTCGGAGCGTTCACACGTACGCAAGTGAATACTGTCTGTCAAATTCAAATTCAAATTCAAATAAATTTTATTGCACAAATATCTCACAGATACGTTGGCAGTTTGTTGCGAGATGGCGTTGTGTACGATTCAGTGTTTACTTCCGTTCCGAGTTCAATTATCAATCTTGAAAACATGCATCTTGATCAAATTTTTGGACTTTATTTCGTCGAAGTACACGTTTTACACTCGCGGCATCTACCGCTTTACCGATTTAGCTGGTGCTAAAATTTGGCTCGGGCCTGGTCAGACGTTTTCGATGGGACCAAATTGGCTCGTGCTAACGCGCGCGCGCACACACACACACACACACGCACGCACACACACACACACGCGCGCACACACACACACACACACACCACACACCACACACACACACACACACACCACAACACACACCACACACACCCACACACCCACATCAAAGCACACAAACAGAAAGATTTTAGAGAGAAGGGAAGAGAATGGGCAGAAACACGCGCGGCCAGAAAGGTGACGAGAGTGGGAGGAGAGAAGGGCAAGAGGGAAGGACGGACGGAAAGGGGACGCGGCGAGGCAGTATTTCTGTCGCTACACGTGGGTTCAGACAGCCCGGCGAGAGCAAAGCGTCGAACCGGCGAATTCGGAAATTTGTCTCGATACCCAATCGCTGCCGGCTAGTGCACCCGAGCAGATGTACGTAGACCCGCGGGGGTCGCTGCGCCCGAGTGACGGGCGGTCACCTGCGTACGGTGCGCACCGGTTTAGACAAGAATTACTGGCTTTTTTTTGTTGGGGCGGGGGGGGGCGGAGGGGCAGGGGGGAGGGGGGGAGGGCTGGGATCGGGGAGGGTGACGAGAAAGAAAGAACGCGAGCTGGGGCAAGGACGAGGGGGCAGATAGGGCGGAGGCGCGAGGAGAAAGGATAAGACCGGCTAGGGAGAGCATCAGCAGGACACGCGAGAGCAGAAAGATAAAGTGGGTCGAAGGGGTGGTGTTTTTTAAGTGACGGGAAAGTGAGAGAAGAGAGACGAGAGAGAGAGTGGAGAAAGAATGAGGAAAGCGAGAGAGAGGAGAGGCAGAGAGAGAGATGAGGACCGGGGGCTTGGTCTTGCGGGCGTGGGTCGGGAGACATAGCACCACCGTAAACAGGAAAAATGTGCAGCAGGCATTCGTGTGGCAGTTTAGGTCTGCCAGGCACGGGGGGGCGAAGGTGGATACAGGGGGTGTGTGGGTTGGAGTAGAAAGGCATAAGGCGGAGTGGACTCAATAATATCAGGTGTAGGGCGCCATGCCGTGAAACTTTCAGTACTATGAAGGTTCTCAATTCTTTCTTGTTATGTTGATGCTACTTCTTTTATTGAAGCGGAACAAGTTTAGATTGAATTTTTATAAGAACCCGTTCTGGTTATACAATGGACATGAGTTGGGCCCTTACAAGGTTAATAAATGCGCGAAGAGATTAGAAGGAATTCAGGCGGATTAAGGGTTATTTCTCGAGTAGATTGGAGAATCAAGGGGATGTGCAACGTAGGATAGAGCGCAAGGACGGTGGCATTATTAATAATAGAGTGATAAAAACGCAGCTTCCTATCATTGGTTTTTCCGCAGGGTGGGGTATAAGGCGACTGCAGTAGCACGGAGGCCTATT